TAAAGGAGGAAGAAAAAAAGAAGAAAAAAAATCCAAACGTCTCTGCTGTTCAGGATTCCTTCCACACTTCCCACTTCCTCAATATTTGGTTTCAGCTGCTTGAGTGCCGCACTTACATTCAAAGCCTAATTCTACTCTTTCACAGAGGGATGGCATTCTAGGGTCAGGGCTGGGAATGAAAAATTACCAAAAACTCAGAGAGAAAGTAAAAATCACAGAATTGCTGAGGTTTGAAGTGACTGCAATCCAGAGGTTCAGCTATGGATTAGATTCCCAGTTTCCTTTTCCACTGCTGATCTGACAATATTTGACAGTGCTTTTGTCAATACTGTATGTATTCCTCCAAGCAAAGGTCTAACTGCACAAAGTAGAAGTACTTCAGCCATTTTAAAAACATCTGAAGCCAGAATTTAAAAGCATTAAGCCAGGGGGAGGAAAAAAATCAGGATCCCCTGACTCCACAACTGAACTCAAAAACAAATATTAATCTTCAGTCCAGAACATGTCCCCTTTCTCCTGCAGACTATCTATAGCTTGTTAGTCTAGTGCTTAATGTCAACAAAATGTCCCCAGCCCTCAATGTGAGATACACCCCAGCACTTCACTCAATTATAACATGGCACCATGTCACACAACACATTTTTTCCCACTTCTGATCCAGCCCCACTGCACGAACGTGTTCACCCAAGGAAAGTGCTAAATTACTGTCCCCCTGATTTTTCCTATGCATCTGCAGCTGTATAAATAAAGCACTGGGTCACTTTGGTATCTCACTGATAAAATATTGCATTTGATTAGTGATCAATATATCTCTTCCTTCCTACATGAATATTCTAAAGAAAATATAAAAGTATAAATATTTAATGACTCAGTTTGAAACAGAAGTTATTGATGTATAACAAAATCATCAGTAAGGTATTGTATGATTGTGTGCTTTTCTCTTTCCACTGATACAGCCAGTTGAGCGTAGTAAAACACAAACTGGTAACACACATATTAGAAAGCTTTTCAGTCTTATGGCAAAAAAGATGACAACAACAAAGATGAATATTAAAGTGACCTTGTGTTAGATACACTATTCTCTCTAGTCAGACTTTCGGAGTTATCTCAATATCTTTTAATATAAATTAAAGCACTTAAATAACCTCACTTTAGTCCCTGGTGTGAAAATACTAATAAATCTCTACCATAAAATACATAAAATATATCAGAGATGCAAAGAATACACAGAGTAGGCAGTAATTAAGATATTCTAAAGAAATATTTGGCTTAGCAGTAAAATAACATACAAGTCTGAATGCAAAATTTATATACTCAGGCATCTTGCTTTGATATGTGGGAAATCAAAGCCAGTTAGTACACCTGTGTTTGTTATTCATGCCCATTCATGTCAAAGAGAAACCACAGCCTTTCCCCCTTCCTCACTGAAAAGATCACTGCCTTTTTTGGGCATAAAAGTGCTGTTGGCATAAGAACTACCCAGTGATTAGCAATTATAAGGGTGTTCCACAAGAAAAATTAACAGGGACTTCAGAGTATCACTTCTATTCTGGAAATTCAAGGGAAGAATTTCCCCATATAATGACTACATGAAAAATCATTCTAAAGAGAAAGGCACAATCCCCAACAGGTATTCAGAGGAAGCAGAGAGTTAGTCAAGCCAAATTCATGCAAAGGTAACAGGTACCTCGCCTAACACAGAAGAGAGAGATAATGTGAAAGGGGAAGGCTTTAAGTTCATCTTGACAGTTGCATTTGGGCAGTTTAAATCTTCCCTGGCTGCCCAGGATTCACTCCTGCACAGTCCCCAGCCATGGCCTTTAAGTCTGAATGCTATCAGAGTGCTGGTTTTGTGATCCTCCAATATGGCAATCCACAGAGCATTCCATGACACTCACCCTTAAAAATCAGGAGGATTTGACTAGCCATAATTAATCTCCTTCCATTTTTAAAACAGAGGCCCCAGCTGTTTGCTTTTTTCAGTTCCAGAAGAGATACAGCTAGTGCTCTTCTCCATTTATTTACAGCAACCATTACACCTACTCATACCACTCCTATCTAAGGATGACCCTTCACAATACTGGACATGCTCAAAAAGTGTGTGAAGCAAGGCAACTAACTGCCCTTGCACCTCTTTCCTTTCATTGCCAATTCCAAAATGCAGTCATCCGAATGTAAAAAGCATCTTTACAGAATACTCTCCTCAGCCAATCAGATCCCTCCACACCTCCATCTGTAATACCGGTGGGTCACAACAAGCCATTAGCATAAATATCCAAGACTTTCTTTTTGATAGTATGTGAAGTGTGAATTTCTGCTATACTCTTACTGGGAACAGCAGGAGATATTTTGGATAGGACTTTGAAAAGAAACCCCAAATACATTTAAGTGATTTAGGAGCTTACACCCCAGCAACTTAAAGTGAATTCTGTACTCCTGCATGTCTAGTTTCACACTGATTTTACATGATTAAAAGCTTTCATGTAGTCTTTGATGGTTGCGTTCTTAATACCTCTACAACTGCTGCAACTGTGCAGCGAGTCACAAAAAACCAGGCTGGCACCACAGCTGACAGAGTTTCACAGAAACCTGCTCTCACTCAGGAGTGTCTAATATCTATCTGCACTAGATAAAGATGTATCTTATCTCCTCCAGATGGAAAAACACAGTCTAATATACAATCATAAGCTGTCTTGAGGACACATTTTAGCAGATCCAGGGACACAAAGATATTGCTGAGACCCACTGCTAGAAATCTCCCTCCTTCCCCCCTAAAGGCTTTAGCCATTCATCAGGCTTGCGTTAGCTAACATTTTCAAGTGTTGCAACGGCATCTGTAACCTTCAGGTTACAATCTGAAGTGATGTCTGCTTGATTTGACTGTCAGGCAAGGCTGATGAGGCTAATGAGTTTGTGTTTTAACTGTCCTGATTACAATATGTTTTGGCCCTCTGGTCTCTTGAAGTATTTAAATCAAAATAGAATTTTGCTTTGTTCTCAGAATGTAAAGTTGAAGTTGTAGCCCGATTTTTACAATACACACATTTCACTCAGGATTTGCACATTAAAATTTCACTCAGTGAAATTGAGACAATGTTCTCTTTTCTCTTTTGCACTTAAACTGGAACTGAACATGTTTTTCTAATTTAAAAAATAAGCATACATAAATACAATATTTTGGTTTGGGTTTTCCGTGGTTTGATGTTTTGAAATTATATTTGCTTCTCACATGTCAAGACAACTTGAGAAGATGTTTACTAAGAAATGTAGAAAAATACAGTGTTCACATTCTTCTTAGTGTGGGGGCTTTGCCTTGCAGATGTACATTAAAGCTTTCAAAGAAATTGTGCATGTACATTCTGAATCTGTAACACTCAAGAATGTAAAAAAAGCGACTTGCAAAAAATTACTGCATTGCAAGAGGGGCCTGTTAGTTCAGTACAGCAAGTACTTAGCTCTTCCACATTCCCTCTGCAGACACAAGAGGCAGGAAGGAGGTGTGCTGGGTTAGGAATGCAAAGTAGGTTATCATTAGTTAAGCAGACGCCTGCTGCCATAAAACAGGTAACAGTCCACACAAATACCACCCCCTTTTTTTGTTGCTATGTTCACGCCTCTGCATGCTCTGACTCAGTGTGCATATTCCACCTCCCGTGGTAAAGAGTACAACTTGTAGAGAGCAGTTTCTGAGTGGATAACATATATTCATTAGACCCAAGATGTCACATGCAAGAAACAAAGTAACTAATCTATGCACTTAGAAATAGATGGCCAAGGAATAGATCCAAATCTATCAATCAGTACTAGGCATAATGAACATTCAAAAAGGACCACCAGGTTTGCTCCAAAATGATTTCAGCCAATGATCAGCTATAGCACAACAAACCCTGCAGCACAAAGCTTACACCTAAACTTCTGCAAACTGTCCACCCCCATCTTGCTTGATACAAATAATACAGGTATTGCCAATACCGATATAGAAAAGTGACTTCTAAGTCATACAACCAACACAATCACAGGGCAAGGAATTTTGGTATCACCTCCTCCTCAAAACAGTACCTCCTGGGAGGTGAGCTTCCTAGTATACACACAGGAGAATGCTAGAGTATTTCTAGAAATTTAAGCTGTGACAGAGTATACAAAACAATATTTCCTTTATGCATAAGTCCACTGTCGCCACAGGCCCCCAGCCGGGTAATAATTAGCATTGACTCCATGACTGCAGAAAGCTGATCAATTGCTTTATTATATCTTCCTACACTATATTATACTATACTTATTCAGAAACTCAGTAACCCTTGCAGCCAGTCCAATACAGCTGTGACCCAATTGGTCAAGCAATCCAAACACCATCCAGTGTCCAATTAAGAAATCACCCTTTGGTAAACAAACCTCCATGACACATTCCACATGCACACAACAGCAGGTGCAACAAGTGGAGATAAGAATTGTTTCTCATTCTTTCTCTGATCTTCTCACAGCCTTCCCTGGGAAAATGCCTGGGAAAGTCTGTGCCTGCTCTCTGTGGCCAGAGAGCTGCTGCCACAGTCCAGGGTCATTTTGATGCCTAAACAAATCATGTTCCACCATTAACATTTTACAAAGAGAAAATACAGCTAGCAAATTACACAGCACCTATGCACACACAATACAAAATTACAAGTGTGCCCAGCCCACCTCATGACCAGTAAAGCCCAATAACAAACTTCCAGATCTACAAATCATTTGTCTGTGCTCTCACATGGAGGAAATTGATTGCCCTGCTTAAGTTTGCTAAAACTGGAACAACCAGTACTCTGAATCTTAATGTAAACTATCTCCTATTTAATCCAAGGAAACACGAAATAGAAATGAAAACAACTGACATCTGCCAGCAGGAAAAGGGAATCAAACACTGTCCTAAAATGAAGATTTTCAAGGCAACAGCTAATTTATTTGCTAACCCCAGCATTCAGTCATGCAGCCTCTGTTGCAAGCACTGATGTGTGTGAAAAACTAACCTTCATCACTTCAACTTGCAGGTCTTCATTGAGCGAAGGAGTCACTTTGACAGCATTCAGCATCTGATTAAGCAATTGTTTCTCATCTGAGTCTGTTTCCACGGATACAAACCTCTCATCAGACAGCAGCTTCTGCAGAGAGAAAATGGCAATGTACGTGTTGAGACAAAAATTGCCTCTGCAAAGTACTGCACCTAAACCTATTAGCGCTTGGTACAAGGGTGGTTAGGCTTTCTGCCTAAAACTTTCAAATTAATCCAATAATATAAAATACAAGAAAAACAGCAAAACTGGGAGATCTGTGTCACGTCAGTTGCCATTTCAGTATCATCTTCGCCCATCCTACATCCCCAATGCCTAGAAGAAAGCAGACATCAGTAATTGATATCACTTCAAATAATGTCCTTAGCAAAACCTCCCAGTATTTTAGAAGCTGGGAGAGACTGGAACCTCTGCAGCCCTCTAGACCATCAAAACAACAACAACAAATTATAAAAAAACACACTCAGGCTAGTATCCTGGCATTTAACTAGTGCTGTCAGATTTCCTGCCCAACAGGAGACAGTAACCCACTGTCTCAATTACCCCAATAGAGCACAAGTGCTGTGGAGGTGGCAGTTTTGATCCCTGGCAAGACATGTTTTGTGTCATACAGAAGTTGACCATTAATGGATACAATCAAGTCCTCAGACAAAGAGGACAGTTAACAAGTGACTAACACAAACACACATAGAAACCAACCCAAGATGATGTGATACCAAAATTCCTTGTCCTGACATTGGGTTGGTTGAACTGAATTTAATACAGACTGACTGAACTTCAGACTAAATATTTTAGACTGATCAGATTTACTTTGCCCAGTACCTCAGAAACTATCTCCTGACATTGTCAATGGCACTATTTCCTTGGAGTTCTACTCCTGCCTCTCACATATAGTCTATAACCATCTTCATGAGTGTCTCCTATTAGTGGCAGGCATCCTGCAAGAGATGCATCCACACAAGTCTTTTCCCAGCTCCTATCTTCTCAGAAGATCCCACAACAGACCAAAACTAGCTAGATCTTAGATCAAGCTAGATCCCAGGAACACAATCTTGTTCTGTCCTAGTAGAGACTTTGAGCAGCCCACTTCCCTCTCTACATTCTGCATCACTTTTGTACTGATGCTCATCCTCAGCTTCAACCTTGCAGCACATTTCATTGGTTCACTCCTACCTCTTAGTTCCTATGCTTGTACTAGTTTTGGCTAGGATGGTGTTAATTTTCTTCATAGGACCTCAAAGAGTGCTGTGTTTTGCATATGTGACCAAAACAGCACTGATAACACACCCACCTTTTGCTATTGCTGAGCAGAGCTCACACAGCCTCAAGGCTGCCTGTTTCTCAGACTGGTTCCCCAGCAAGTAAGATGGGGGTGCAGAGGAGTTTGGCAGGGGACACAGCTGGGACAGCTGACCCAACATGACCACTGGGATATCCCAAACCATATGACACTGGGCTCAGCAACAACAGCTGGGCAAAGAAAGAGGAAGTGGAGGGGACACAGTCATTCAGACTTAAGGTATTTGTCTTCCAACATAACAGTTACCCATGATGGAGCCCTGCTTTCCTAGAGATGGCTGAACACTTCCTGCTCCATGGGAAATGGTGAACGAACTCCAGATATTCTTTTATTTGCACATACAGCATTTGCTTTTGCTATTAAACTTTGTCTTAGCCCACGATTTTCCTCACTGTTACCCTTTTGATTCTCTCTCCCATACCTCAGAAAGGAAAGGAATGAGTAAGTAAAGCTGAACTGCCAGCCAGGGTTTAACTCAGAACATTCCCGACACACCAGAAGCTCAAGTATTTTAGCACTGTTCAGCCTGATGAGATTTAACTCAATCTGCAATGACAATAATGGGGTTTTCTATATAAATTTAGAAGAATGTTTAGTTCATTATGGGAGATATGGAGTTGTTGGAGTCCAGTGCTAAGATGACAAAGGAACTGCAGCATCTCTCTTATGAGGAAAGGCTGAGAGCTGGACTGTTCAGACTGGAGAAAGAAGGCTCACCATCACATATAAATATCTGAAGAGTGCAAAAAGAACAGAGAGGCGCCCACTGACAAGACAAGAAGCTCTGGGCACAAACTGAAACACAGACGGTTTCCTCTAAACACCAGGAAAAAAATTTACAGTAAGGGTGATCAAGCACAGGTTGTCCAGAAAGGTTGTGGTGACTCCAGCCTTGGAGGCACCTCTTTTCCAGTCTAAACAGTCCCAGCCCTCAGCCCTTCCTCGTAAGAGAGATGCTCCAGTCCCTTTGTTATCTTAACAGCCCTTCCCTTCTACAACCACACCGTGCCCCAATATGAGGAACTATCTAACCAAGTGTCTGATACCTCATATGCTGGATAAGGTGAATTTGAATGATCCACTTACATCCTTGTATTCCCAGAACAATTTCTTTCTGGCCCTCCAAGGAAAAAAAATCTTTTTGGAAAATGGATATTATGCCCCAGCAGTGTGCCAGCCTTTTCCACAACTAGCATCCCCCTAGTGACAAGTGTTTACTGACTTGTACTCATTTGTCCAATTAAAAGAAGCGCAAACTACTTTAGTTTTTATACTTTCAAACCCAGGAGAGATTTTTTTTTTTTTGCTTGTGCTGCACTGCTGTTTTCTTTTGCAACTTCACAGACTTCCAAATCAGACGCTGTTTCTACTGTTTTCAGTATACAAAAAACCCAGAAAAGCACCCACACATAAAGAACACAGCTCCAGATCCTCTATTAACCTCTCCATCTTCCAAGCAGTCCTCTTTTTTAATCAAAGAAAACATCAAGTCCCAGCTTTATTTCTAAGATGCTTAGCAGTGGCAAACTTTTCTGGGAGTAGCACAGGGCCCACAAGGAAGAGTACATCTACATTTCAATGTTAAAATCCAGGACCTCCCACCTATCTGCAAAACATTTTTAGCCTCTTCAAAATCACCAGCCTTTACTTGCATCCTGACTTCTGAACAGAAATGTGAACGTTATTTTAGGTTCACCCGAGGACAGATGCTTTTTCTATAGCACTTTTCAAAAGAAAAGCCTAGATTTTCTTGACACCCACTGCATGCTAACACACTCCCACTCCAAAGTCATACCTGCATCCCTGCTAGAGCCTGTTGGGCCAGCTTCATGCTCTTTGATTCCAGAGCCAGTTGAAGAGGAAGGAGACACTTCTCCCTAAGGAAAATTTAAAACAAGTGAGAGGGGAAAATGCAATTAAAATTGGTATTCAAGTAACATACCAGAAGGGACATATCAGTTTCAGAAAGATCACGTTTGCATATAGCATCCAAAGATAATTTCACAATTCTGTGAAGCACTTTTACCCTCTAAAGAAAGCTGGCATATTTCATCACACATTTCTCACATCTCTAATCCAGAAAGCACCTTTAAGTGCTTTTACATTGTGACTTTGTTATACTCCTTCTGTTAAAGTGAGGAGAACTCACATTTGAAATCAGTAGATGAACAGGTGTCAAAACAAGGTACCTGTGCATTAACTGGTACTCCATCAGCCAGACACAAACAGGAAAATAAGAATGAAGTTCAAATACTATACTACAATGCATAGTACTAACTGAAGGATGCTAAAAACTGATAATTATTTGGACCTGCATCTCTTCTAGGCAAAACAGCACATTTGTTTTAGACTTTCTACAGATTTTTGCAACAGCATATAAACATTTTGGGCATTATTAATACAGAACTAATTTATTCTCACATTAAAGTGGATGAACACTGGGAGGAGTGGGGAAAATTAAGAAAGTCATAAGCCCCTGGAGTGGATCCAGTTCAGTTTCATGATAGTGAAAACAGGTGGGAGCTCCTATAGCTTATGTGTAGCTACCTCACACATCAGCATGTTGCCTGCCATCTGTCATTGCATACTGCAGTGGGCAGAGAACAATAAGAGCTTTGATAGAAGTCCCAAAAAGAAGAGCAAAAAATTACAAACAGGAGGATGGAAATTAGAACAGATTCAATTAGCTGAACTTCCCATCCTTGCTAAAAATGCTTAACTGAAAATCTAATTAAGGTTGCTGCAGACTGTGCTCCCACTGTATTCTTGGAGAAAATGAATTGCCATTGTGTCATTTCCTGTTCTTGTTACACACTCAGTCAATTAAGCTTTTAGCATTTCTATGCTACAGCTATGAAACACCTGCAGAGATATCTTACAATGTTTGATTAGCTTGAGCACCTTTCACACTTCAGTTCAACCTGCCATTTAAATGCATCATCTGATAGCATGATAACATGAAGGACACAGCAGATAATCCTCAGGCAGAACAGGAGAGAATGATGTAAATTAACACAGACCCTTCTAACATCTTAAGAGTTCAGTTCAGTAAGGCTGCAAAATATGGAAAGCAGACTGAAATTACCTCAACGGCTTTGAGTGCAGTGAAGAAAGGGAATGAGGTTTCCCCTTATACCTTGCAGCCCTTTTATAATTCCACTCTATTTTGAGCAGTCCCCCACCATGGGATTTCCTTGCTTACTTCACCGTTTGCAGTTCTGCATGGTTAAGTGACAATTCATGCAGACTTTGTGGTACTACACATGTATGACATTTTACATAACTGAACTTCTCAGAATAAGCTGATGCACAACAATATACTTCAAAACACGTTTAGGAATATTCTCCATTTACATAATGTACAGAAAGTAGTTTCACACCATAGCTCTTAAGTATCCATACTGTTGCATGCTGGTGTGGACATACATACACATACAGTTTGAGGCACAAATACCAACTTAACCCTGATTGAAACATACCAAGTACAACACAGAGGGAGAATGAAAGGAAGGGAACACCTTTGACTTAGAAGACAGGGAGCTATCTGCCAGGGCAAGCAAAAAAGCTCAGTGGTAGAACCAAGTGTATAATCCAGGGCCAGTACCTCCCAGAGCACAGGCTGTCCCTCCTGAGCTACCTCACTCCATGACTGTCAACTTTGCCAACTTCAGAATGAGTGATGAGAACACACACAGCCTTTATATTCAACACAGTAGGTTACAATGACCTTTCTAGTTGTCCAAGCTTGCTGTGGCTTGTCAGCCTATCAACCTACCTCTTTCCCTGCAGGTCTGGAATAAAAGATGCTATGGCAGGTCAGTCAAAACAGACTGCCAGAAAGGTCAGAGCAAGACAAATTACTATTGTACATAGAGAGATCATAAAAATCTTTCTATTCTCACTGTAATGACAAAAAAGGCTTTAGTGAGAAAAGAATAATGGTTCATTAATTCACTCTCATTATCAAAACTGTAATGAAGATAGAAATTGCCTAATCTTAACTCCTTGTTGTTAGTGCCTGGAACACAGTCTCACAGCCCACCTTCCCCTCCTTGACTTAAGGAAAGGGGCATGATAAATGAAGCATTTTTCCCTTCATGCAAATTGTGATAATCCTATTATTTTTAATCCCATTTCTGAAAATTAAAGATTAAAAATAAGACAGCTCTCTGCATTATCTTCCTGCTGAAAATTACATAGGAGAAGCAAAATTCAGAACCTCAAGGCCTTATCAGCATCCAGTTTGCATTCCATAGAATAATTCACAGCCCAGTCAAAAACAGGTAAGAATTTGATTCACCACTGTTGCCATTTTCTGATACACTGTTTATTAGGCAGGATAACAGTCACAGCTGAAGCCTGATGTACAGTCAGAGTAAGCAACGATTGAAAATATTTTCTCTGTCTTGGCTGCCTAAAAAGAACAGAGTAGCACAGTGTAATATTATTAGCATCACTTATTCAAGAAGAAGAGTTGGCCTATGATGAGAAAATAATTGGTAGAGACGAATTCTCAGAATTCTGCAAGTACCCACAGCTGCTATCCTTAAGTAAACCAAACAGAAGCAAACACTGTCCTTGCACAAATACGAATGATTTAATTTACATAAAACAAATTCTAGTGTTGTATATATGAACACATGTAAATATAAAAATAGAAACATAAATCTTTTTTCCTGTACTAGTCTAGAGAACATTGACAGAAGACTCCACCAACAAGTTTAGGCGTAATGGAAGTATTTAAAATCTGGAATAGGAACATGGAATAAATACATCATTTTTCAAGTAATAACTCTTCAAGAAGAAGGAAGATTAAAGTCCTTACATTCTAGAGAAATTATTACTGCAGAAATATTATCATCCCACTTACAAAGAGAATTGCAGGTTGGAGAGAGGTTTGGAATCCACAGTATATAAATACAGGGCAAGTTCACCCACCTCCACAATGCAAAAAGTCAAACCAGATGATTACAACAGACCAGCACCTCCATGCAAGTACAAGTTTGTCAATAGTACTTAGAGACATAGTAGAGCAATAAGATAAAAGACAAAAACTGAAGCCTTCCAGTTAGAACCCTCCTTTTCAAGGAAAAAAACCCAACAAATTATGACACTGTGCTACTACAAGATGATCATGAACTGTTAGACAACTTTGGTGCTACCATGCTATATAAGAATGAACAAGCACTCAGTGTTGCAGTTTACAGGTTCTGGAAAAAATAAAGAAAACATTTGGGAGACTGTTGCCAAACTATGCATATATAAATGCTGACTTGCATCAGCAGGGCCAGGATTTTACTCTAGTTACTCACAAACATAGAGACACCTGTGGGCATATTTCCCATATCACAAGATTTGCCTCATATATTTGCACACATCAAGTGAGCTTCCACCTTTATTAATAACTAAAAAAATAGTAATTTATGGCTGAAGGCCTTTTCATTTTTCTGTCTCACCACTTGCACCTAATTTTTTTTTTTTTATCTCATTCTTTTCCTTCCTACAGAACACAAAACTCTTTGGTTTTATCCAGTTACAATGGAAAGACTTCTCCTCTGACTTAAGGTTAATGCTCCTTTTTTTTCCACATCCAATTTTCTCACCTCAGCTGCTGACATCAGCTCTCTCTCAGAGTTCCATCCAACTCAGTATTTAAGTTTTACTTCCTCTTTTTTCCATGTATTCCTTCTTCCCTTCAATCCTCTTGCTTTTTAAACCCAGACACAAAGTCTTCACCCAACAGTTAAATAAGCCTGCCTTTGCAGGAAAATATGAGTTGCTTATCAGAGGATGTTTAATAACACAGCAGGGAAAAAAGTGCAGAATAATGCCTAAATGTAATTTCACAGTTTCTTAGCTAGCACTTTAATAATTCTTTTTTCAACCTGTAATGGTGAATGAGATTGCAATTTAAAACTGCTTGGTATTAAAGAAGTGACATAATGGTATTTATAATCTTTTTTATTTACATCCTTTCTAAGATAAAAGAATTTGCCACTACAGAAGCAGCATAACTCTACTCATGGGAAAGGCAAACATGAGCAATTTAATCTTCCAGCCAACCCAGTGCAGCCAAGACCACAGAATTCATACTATCATAATTAAGTAGCTCACCAGAGTCACTCAGCTGGAGAGCACTTCTGAGGTCATTTGTCTCCTTCCTATACGAGCTAAAAACATCTTGATTTTAACAGAAACACAAAGTTCCTAGATAGGAACTTGTTGTCAAGATGAGAACAAAACAGAACAAAAACCCTTATAAGCACAAGGCGTACTTTTACTTGAGAGGAGAGGAAGAGAGACAACAGAAGATTCTACACAATATTAAAGGTGGACAAGGCCAAAATAATAATCAGATGCTTCCAGTCTCCAAAGCTCTAGTGTAATCTCTCTCTGACACATTATCATTGCTTTCCCTACAACATCCACCCCCACAGGTACTTTTGCCTTTTGTGAACAAGGTACTAATTGCAAATTCTGCTCTTAAGAGCTTGGTGACACATGTATTCCTCACCAGGTCTTAATCATAAAGCAATCTGTAGCCTTTAGGTGATTTTGTTGATTATGATTTGAATTAGAGTATGAAGATGAGGTGACAAGCTAGACTTGCTCAGTCTACAATTTTGAGCTTATCAAACTATTCCATTAAACCTCTCTTCCCTATGTTTGGTAACTCTGCAAGGGAAGCTACATATTTGTCTAGTGAAAGCATTTTGTTTCAAATTTTAAGCACAAAATAACAAATAAAGTGTTTTATGAGAATTAAATTTCCATCAAGAGAAGTTTTACAATGCTGGAAGAAGGCAGGCTGAGGGAATGGAAAAAGAGACACAGAGGTACCATCACATGGACATCCTGCAAATTACTTTATTTTCTC